TATATATAGAAGACATCGATACTTTACCCGCAATATTGATATTTAAGTTGAAATTTATTTTTCAACTACAAAAAAGTGTATGGGAAAATACTAAAGTAGGTTTAATCGGCAGCTTGTGTGATTTATTTAGCTCTTAAGTTTGACAAACCAGGCATGCCATTTTAAAACTCAGTAAATATGCAAATTGGAAATAACACAATTAGGTGAGTTGATAGGCAGGTTTAATATTCTATCCGATTGGGAGTAGGATTTTCAACATCGATTTTTCCGATATCGATATTGTCCAGCTCGATATATCGCCATATCGATTTTACATGCACTGAATTAAATCGATTCATAATATCGATACTTTCTTAAATATCGAACATTCCTACATGATGGTGGAATAATAACAAGGTGTCAAAACGAAAGGGAGTAGGAGATAATTTTCATAATTTTCTTTTGTTGACATCCTAAAGTTGCGCCACTTTGTCTTGTATGACATTCTCCTGTACTAGTGTAGAGACAAAAATATCCAATCAGCTCATCAACCAACACCACCTTGTATTAGGGATGCAAACGATGCATCGATATTTTTGAATCATCGATAATATCGGTTCAAAATTGGATATTTGCCATCGATGTTTACAATTGCCTAAAATCGCTAAATTGACGATACATCGATGCCAGTTTCAACGATGTTTTAACATCGACTTAAGTGTGACTCAGACTTGAATTCTAATTACCCGTTATGCTCCTAAAACTTTTTGACGGGCCATGAATTTTTATTAGTTATTCTTTTGGGGAACATTCAGAAGTTCCGAGTTAACGCGTATCTTTCGATATTAAAAATGCTTACTGAATCAGTAAAAAAAGAGCCGGTTGGGTTCCCATTGAAATTTCAACGAAGTTGGGCCTTGGAACTTTAGTCTCAAAGAACTTACTACGGTATGCATTTTTATTCTATTTATAAGAAGAGTAGAAGAATAGTAAATAAATACAGGGAAATAAATCCATATGTAAGTATTTTTCCAATTGAATTACAGAGAGTTGTAATTGAAAAGTTTTGAAATTTCCTTTTAATGTGACTACAACCTAACAAATTGTGAATGCATCGAAACATCGATGTTACCCTCCAAAATTTGCATTCCTACCTTGTATTGATACTCCTTGGTGTTGTCAGTAGCGACATGTTTGTTGTAATTTTGACATCAGCATGCTTATTTTCAGTGATGCCGATCTCAATTTTTATACTACTATTCGTTCGGAAATAGTATCTAAAATACTCCTTTTTAATAACTCGTTTTATGGCGATTTTTAAATAATTTGATGTTTTCAGAACGATATTATTGTCTAAAATTGCTGGATTTTTATAATTTTTTTTTTCAAAATCCAATAAAGTAAAAGATATCGTGGTTATCAATGGAAAAAGACGTACACAAAAACCTTTTGGAAAGGCAATTTTTTTATACTAAATAACTCTTGCTGCATTGTTATAATATCGAGCCGAATGGACTACTGATATACTAGAATAGGGTGGCATGAGTACCCTATGTACTATGTACTATGAGTACTGGCATCGATTCTTTTTCAGAGTATTATAAATGAGTACTAGTATCGATACTTTTCTAAAAAGTTCTATCACTATACACGAATTCATAATAAAATGAAATGAATTTTCCTATTATAAAATTACTCACTTTACCAGCGTTTCATAATCCATTGCAGTGTATTTTATTTAAAAGAAATCCAGTCTGTTTTCGCCGCAATTGGCAAATATAACGAACTTTTTGGTTTTCATTATTGTCAAAACATCGACGTTTCGAAAAACATCGAAGATGTTTCTTTACTCATTTTAAACCATTTCATAGTATGCGCGCTTTAAAATTTTGAGCGAGTGTTTGATAAATAAGTACTGTTCGGGATGGGGTGAAATGGGGGCCGGGAATTCCTCTTGAATTCCGCGGCAAACGAGGGTCGAGGAGGTGCCGAATCCCTAAAGTCCTTCGAGGTTGAATTAAACCGAAAAAAATCGCTCAAAAATGAAATGAAACACTTCACACTTTTCACTATTATATGTATACTAGCAATTACCCGGCGTACTTCGCTGCGCCTTAAATGTATTTTTGTGTTGTAACTCTCCCCGTAAGCTCTTATGGCCTCATTTACAAAATATTTTTAAAGAACTTTATGAAGTTAGATTTAAAAAAAATTGATCTATGAAGCATTGTTTTATTTTTTTTTTGAGTTAATATATTTTCGAAGGTAATTAGAAAATATGTAAAGAACCGACTTTCTCTTGGAAATTTAATTTATAATCTTATAACTGGAGTCTACTATCGCACCCTTTCCTCAAATAGTATATAGCTTTGTATAGTAGGGAGATTTTTTCAAATTATATAAATATACGTTATTTCAATATTGAATTAATACACGTTTGAGGAAAGGGTGCGATAGTAGA